TACCTCATTTTAGGTTACTCATCGAACTAGATCATCTTAACTTACCACCATCTCCCCCAAACCTAAATTACAATGAAGACCTTGACCCTTTCCATTTCCATTGTCCTTCTTCTGGGTCTCGTGCTCGCCGCCACAACATCGGCCAAACACTTGCACCGCCGTGCGGCCAACGTCGAATGGGACTTCAGTATTTATCAGAATGACCAGTGCACTGGTGCATCCGACCGATATTCTGGTACTGGCTCAAATCCTTGCCAACGAGGCATCAGAAATGGTTCCGGCAAGAGAACTACCAAGCACTTCATGGATCCCGATTGTACAGTCCTGCTGTACAGTGACGAAAACTGCACCCCTGACGATGTCGTTGGTGAAATCGTTGAATCGGATGATAACTCTTGCCATGATACAGATATGGAGGAGAGCTTCCGGTCATGGGCGGTTCTCTGCGAATAGGTCGGCGAGCAAAGACAGTACACTGACATTTTTTTTCTGTATTGATTTGAAATAAAAATGTTCAAATACAGAAAGTGATTTTTTTTAAGAGCAACCAACACATATATCTTTGTAAACTTACTTCAATCACACTTTCTAACATTACCATTAAAGGGGGGCAAGATTTCGCAGTATATAACTATACAGCCATTATGTCTCCTTTTTACACTGCCTGTGTAATTACATCTGAGGTCCCTTTAGTACTCCTCTCTGTTTTCTGTGGAGAACATATATAGGAGGTTAGATTGGGCAATACATAAAAAGTCCGCAGAAAATGTGGTTGATGTTAGGTCGAGTATATAACACTTTATGACACCAAGAGTATAATATCCTTATATTCGTTACAATGCCTTGCCTTGAAAATTCAGAAGAGTTTTCAAGTCTGTAAAATATGCCACTAAGAGCGTTACATCCTTAGAAAGTATTTGAGACTTAAAGCCGTATTTAAGCTATCTCTTCTACAGCATACAAGATATATACACTAGAGTAGTTTCACAAAAATCAGTCTCTGGACCATTCAAACAAACAATTTTTCTGTGCTCTTCAAAGATTTACCAAAAACAGCACGGATATCTGAAAGAGTACAAAATTCTAAATTTGATTCCTTTGTTCGTGGTTTGGGGAAAATTAGCAGAAAATTTTGTTGTTAAACCACCAGAGTTATCAATTCATTCGTATTCTGAGAAAATTGTATTGCATCCACCTCTGCTAACTGACTCCGCATGATTACACGACATTTTCGCTACGCGACACTTCTGCTACCTCATATTTGACCACACAGCCATAATGTGCCCGTCGAGTCCAGTCATCTCACAAAAGTAGCGGAAATGTCCAGTAGCGGAAGTGTCGTGTCACGCTCCGCAAATAAAAAACAAACACTTAGTGAAGTAAAAGCATCGCTCATGATTTCTATTCTTGTATAGATGAATAATACACAAAAATATAAACTTCGATTCTCGAATCGGCCACGTCAAACAGCCTTATACAAATTGTGCTGACGCATAATTTTTTCGCTACAATATGTTTTCTTAAGAAGAATGTATCAGATGGGCAACTCTGAGGTTTTCTAAGTCTAAGTCAAGTCTAAGTCTGCACCTTCTAGTCCAAGACAAGTCTAAGTCTCAACTTTTTCAAAAGCGTAAGTCTAAGTCAAGTCCAAGTCTGAAGGGTCTTAGGTCTGAGTAATTCTGGGCAAAAAAGTTATATTATTTTTCTAGGGATTACTCCCTTTTCCATTTTCTGTGCTCTGCTCCCTTTTTGCTTTATAAGGATTTTCGGATTAGGAGGCTGTTTTATGATGTTTTCTTGACTGCTCCGTTGACTGAGCTTCTTAGCTTTTCAATGCCGCCCCAATCTCTCCCCTTCCACCCTGTGTTTCTCCTATACCTTTTATCTGCGCATTGCAAAATGCGATTTGTTGATCGGTAGAAAGAGAAACTCCCCCTCTGTCCCCATCGGCTATTGAATCGCTAATTCTCAGACACTGCTATACTTTGTATGTACTTTCAGTTCCGGCTGTTATTATTACTGCAACTCCATAATTTCAGGGGTTTTCCTACTACTGCGCTGTCTTTCATGTAGCAACTTACAAAGTTCCGAAGGATATCGACCAGGTTCGAAATAGTTGCCTGCGGACACTTTCTTCAGGATCTACTTTCGAACAGGTTTGATACCTAAAAGAAATTGTCTGTCTGCTCATACTGACCCATACAAACATCAGGTTAGCCAAAATGTGCCCGAGACGACGTCGGCCGCCGTCGCACATTCAAAACTACTTTTTCTTTCCATGCACGGTCGCCGTTTACGGTCCCGAAAGGGAAAGCCAGACATCGGACACGATGCAGAATGGGTAAACACTTCCTCCCGAAAGAGGGTGTTTACTTTGCTAAACATGATGATGATTTTTCTAGGACCTTCCGATTATCTTAGTGACATCCTTTTTTTTCTTAGTTATTGTCTTATTTAGCATGTTTTGTTTGCTTGCAAATGTTGCGCTAGACTAGACTTCCTGGGACTTTAAAAGACGAAAATCAAAAGACGCATTATTTGTAATTTTCGAAAAAAGTAAAGAGAAACAACGTGTCTCTCGAAAATTTCAATTTCTCTTCAAAGTATGAAAGAAAAGATAAAATATTCCGTCTTTTATGAGTTTTTGGCACTCATTAGGATGTCTGCAACGAAGCAGAAGAGAAGTGCTCAGCTAAGCGACGAGAGAACAGAGTCCACATGAGCATCATGCTGCCACATTACATTTTATTGCCACGTGTCAGTATTTGCTGCAAGTAGAGGAAAAGAAGACGTGGCGAAAAATCTTGCCTCTTAAACTGCAAAACAGTTTATTTGCACCGGTTAATTTTTCCGACTGAAAAATACAAATGTTAAATTCTATAAGTCTTAATTTTGGAACCAAAGTGTGCGATTTTAAAATGCTAAGTTTAAGTCCAGTCGCAGTCTTCGAAATTTGACGTAAGTCCAGACTTAGACTTAAGTCTGGACTTGCCCGAATGGATATTGATGCGCGATTGAATGATTCAGCATAACTCCAAAGTAAACTTTTGATTTGTTTCTCGCTCATACATATATACGTAGTACCTATACCTTTTTCTTAAAATCAAAGCCAAAAAAACAGTCAATGCAAATGAAACTAAGAAAGACGTAAGTTGAGGAGCTAGCTGAGAGAAAACAGCGAAGATGACACAGTTGAGTAGGGTCGCCATAGCAGGAAGTCATTCCATGTAATAAGCTTTTGTTTTCTTATCTTTGTGAAATGTAAAGGCAGCAATCCAGGTGAAAAGCTCTTTATTGTTGCAATACTTCTAGCTTACTTTTTTAGAACCATAATCATAAATTAGTCAAAACTCATAGACATAAATCTTAGATACTTAAATAACTCAAGATCCGATGATCATTGCTTTTATTAGTAATAAATAAAAGTTTCTCGTAAAACCTTTTTTTTTATGATCAAAAGTTATTCATCCTGCACTTGCACAATTTTTTATTACTGTTTTTTATGTTTTAACAAAGAAAAAGACTTCTGTGCAACCTCGATATATAAAAGGAGACATATCTGCTACGTTTTCGTTTTTTAATCATCAACCTCAAGCCAGAGTATCAACCAGCGCTTTACAAATGAAATTCGAGTAAGTTCAAAGGCTTGTCCAGCTAACGCATGACTTCGCTGACAGAATGTTTTTTTCAAATATTTAAAATTTGTTAGAATTGCATACTCTCGACTAAATGCAGTCTTTCAGGCTGAATTGCCGTTTGATTTTTATTTTTCGAAAAAATTCGTTTTTGACTTAAAAATCCGGGTTTCAAACTTTTAGAAAGTATTATTTTCGGTTTTTAATCAAAAGAAATGTTCTCATGAGCAATTTTGAATACATGGTTCGGCAGAGAATTTGAATTTTCTAAAACCGGATTTTTCACTTTTGTTGCCCTTAAAAAATTGTACAATTTCTAGCTTAATGTCGAGGTCTTAAAGCTTCAGGAAGCAGCTAGCGAGCTGGGGCTTGCGTCGATCGATTAGATATACGGAAGACTGACTTATGCACAAAAATGAGGAGTGTTTGAGCTTGTTCGAGCTTGTTTGACACCGTTTCTGAGTTGGTGAAAAAGCTGTAACATCGTATTCTCATTTCATACTACACATAGATACTTGTGAACTAACTTTTTTTTTCATTAGATTGCCCATGACATTTCGACAGACTAGGTTTTCAGGTGTCTCATTTCAGATCAAATAGAGCCTGTGTGTAGAGAAGCTCAAAAAACTTTAGGGCCATTTTGTGTAACGCCTTTGTGCAATAAAAAAAGTTGTTAAAAAAAAATGGAATGATTTGTCCGCAGGACTTGGAGTTTATATTGTAAGTTACGTGCAGTTTATTGACTTGCGTCGAACGGCAAAGGAATCAGCCTCTTTTGTGCTTCTCTTCATGAGATTATTAACAGCTAGTTAGTTAAAACATAACGCCATTATACACTCAAACAAGTTTTTTTCGATATTATTCGAAAATACTGTTTTTTGCGATCCATATTTTTTGCTTACTTCGGGAGAACCAGTAACTTCGGATAGTGTAAATTTTCCTTTTCTATTTTAAATGTCATACACTTACCTACAGCCGTTCAGAACCTACAGCTTCCAATCGTGGCAAGCATTCTGTATTTAGATGAGAAGTAGACAAAGACAGTTCAAACATATTTTTCTGTATTGTTTTGAAATAAAACTGTTCAAATACAGAAACAATTTTTTTCTAAGAGCAACACATATACCTTTCTACATTTCTAAACCCTACCACAAAACTTGAGTTGATAGGTTTAGTGAGTTTGATGATTCCTACATGAACTGATAAGTTCAGCAGTCAAAACTCGAGTCGACTAACTTCTGAGAAGGTATGTTAAGAAAAACATAGGGAGCTCATCCACAACTGATTTGGCCTGACTGAGGAAATTTGAACGATATTTTGACTCGCGCAAGGAGAACCAGACATTCAAAGCAAATAAATTTAAAGCTATAATAAAAATGCTACAATACACCACCATAGAGCACTGAAAAGCTAAGAAAAAGAATTTTGAGTCTATATTTTCAACGCACACAATACCTTTCCAGTTTCTACAGCCCCGCATTTTCTTTCACTTGCCAAACTTTTTCGACTACATGCAGCCGTTCAGAACTTGCTAATATAATAACTAAGAACACTGACAAAGACTACAATTGTACTCGAAGATGTTAAATACGACCCTGCCTGTGTAACCGACTTTTTCGGCGGTGTCGATGTGGACACGGCAGTTGTTTTTCGGTCCCATACTAAGTCAAATTCTTGTGAATTGCAATAGTCCTGACCTTTACAGCAAAAGACGCGTGTGATCGTCTCCGGTTTGTCACCGGGCTGTACGTATCGTCCCTGAAGTGCATTGTATTCTCCATCGTATTCAGTTACATTGTCGCATTTCTCAGGCATTTTTTTAAGCTTATGTAAAACAGTTGCTGGGTTAGTATGAAATCGCTGCGCATATACAACTTCACCTGTAGTTTTAAACACTGTTACAAGTGTCTAAGTCAAAGGAAAAAATCACAACTAAAATCCATCATACGTTACGAGACTCTAATGTCTAAGAAAGCTTACTGTGCAACTGCCAGCGATTCCGTAGTTCGGCTTCGTCCCTTTATCTTTGTCAGCCGGTAGCTTTGCACAACGAAACGGATTCGTACAGTGATAACATTTAATTGGCTTCTCACCTTTCTCTACGACTTCTTGAGTACTGACTGCATCCAAAGCAGGTACGTTGATTGGCAGTGATAGATTGTTACATAAATTCCGAGTACAGCATAAGACGATTGTTTCACTGTAGTTTGAGGACCATTCTAGAGAATATGCATTTTTGATTCATACATTCAAGCAAAAAATAGGTTTCCTCTTGCCAAATGCGGACGAACGAGGTTCGGTTTTTGTTAGGAAGCGGAAAAGAACGTGAGATTGTGCAGAAACTAAATATTTCTCGGCGACGATGATCTCCCGGTATAGCCTTAGGCATTATTAGTCGTTCCTTGAGCCGTTTTACTTTGAAGCCTGCAAAACCGAAAATTTGATAACCTCACTGTTTTTTTCTACCGGGCAAATATGATTTTGTCAGAATTTCTTTCGACCTGCGCTGTCACGAGGGAAAATGGTTTTATAAGTTTCTCACTCTCAGCCCCCATCGGCGATTCCAGCCAAAAGTGAGTCTTCAAACTGCCTAAATTATTTCTCCGGACCATCAAACACCTTTCTCGCAACCGTTCCCTACAAAATTCGCACTACGAATCTATCGTAAAGTTCCACTATAGGTGATGGACATTGAGAGACGAACAGGACCGAGATATCAAAAAACGCACAGCGAAGTTCGAAGTGCAAGAATTTAAAGCTAGGCTCAGGAATATATGTATACGTGACGAAAATCTGAGGGATCTCCGTCAATGTCTTCTGGATTCATCCCTATCTTTCTCTCTCTTAGCCTTTCTTTTTAGCATACCTGGCATCAAATTCTTCGCTGCAAGCTTAGTGCAATCGCTCTCTCCTATCGACTCAAATTGTGATTGAATATAAGCTTCTCTCTCTACCTGCAGAAATTCTTGTCCAGGACCTACCGACCGTTGAACCAATGTCTAAAGAAAATGATGCAAAGATATCAAGTCTTTCGTGTATAGAAGCTCCTCTTATCTAAGAAGTAGTGGCGGCGAGAAACGGTTGGTCAGGACTGGCCGATAAATTCAAAAATCGAAGTGAAAAAATCTCCTTCAAAATTCTCTGTAAAGTTTTTTTCAAAAATAACATGAATTTTTTTCTCAAAAAAGGACAAAGTAACGGGAAAGGGGAAAAAATTCGTCTGAGACATCATATGTTCAATTCCGAGCTATCCTAGGACGTGCTTATTCAAATTTTTTACCCGTTCCGCGGGGAATAACAGATATTTTTAGGGAAAAACCTGCAGTAAATGGCACCACAGACTTGGAGTACATAATCCCAAAATCGGAGTAAAACTTGACTTATCGCCATCCTCCTCCCTAATCACGTCGCTATGCTGCTAAGAAGCAAAAAAAGAAGACTTACAAGGCAGACAACATAACGAGTGGAACTTAAATCAGCCGTCTTGTTCTCTGGCCACCAATTATTCTGAATTATGCCAGTCATCGTGTTCAGAGGAGCTTCACACCTAGTGTCAGTAGCTGAACCGCATCGATAACACTCAATACCGACGGTATAGTTCAGCATCTGAAGCAGCGCTAAACCTATGTAAACAGATAGGAAAGTTGTCTTTATAAACTTCAGTGTAGAAAAAAACGCCAACACAAGTCGTCGTAGCACTACTTACATGTGATTGTCACGGTCAAACTTTGATATTTCATAACGATGCTACTGTCATAGATTCCTGTGGTATTCCATAGGCAAGAGTAGTGGGTCAAATTATAGCTTTTTTAAGCAAATATGTATGAAAAATGCGACTGTGAAGCCCCGAAGAAGAAGAACGAGAAGAAATCAACTTAAATTATTTTTCTGTTTTTTAAAGAATAATAATTTCTCTCTCTCCCCCTCTCCTTCGAGTTTCTGTGTTACCATGGCTTTTCTAGTTCTACTACATTTGTCTCCTTTTCAAAATAAATATCTGCTGATGTTCCCTAAACCGATCCCTTCCTCCACTCGTTTTACTTAAAGGAGTCTCTGACACTCCTCTCTCGCACAGCACAATTTTCTTTGTCATTGAACCCATCGAGTTTCAGGCACGAGGAGACCTTCCTTACCTCTCTGAGATTTTAGTGTTTTTAAGCAACTTCTTAATATATTCGAAATGTAGGAGCAGCCGTAGGTTAACTTACAAGTTGCATTTTCTATCACGCCTTATTCTACGTACGCCCGTTATTCGAAAAAACCCAGCACATTACAAGACCTTGACAGAACAGACCGAAAGAAGTCAAAAAAAGTGAAATTCTTTCCCCCGCTTGAAGAATGTGCGTCTCAGAAGAGCAGGAGACTACTTCAAGGCGAAATCGTGAAACTAGATGGCATACTAAAGGTGCGATATAAAACTTTGAAGTTACACTCCTCTGTATATACTTCGTATAAAGTTGTTGAGGAAAGGGAAAAGGTTTAAAATACTTTCTTAGATCTATAGTTCAGACAAAACGCAAAGATTTCTCTGAGGCGTGAATGTTACAAAATCAAAGCAGCTTATTCAAAAACGAAACACCGGTCGAAATCATACGGCAAAATCCACCTAAAAGCTAGCGTTATTATACACGACCGAGCGCTTAGTGTTTGAAACCCACTATCTCGGATCCAATTTTACACAGTGATTTTAACTCGGAATACCTCAGCTGTCTCCAGCTGGTGAGTGGAGAAAATTAACTTATGAACCATGCCAAAAATCCGGTTTTTCACACCTCTTCAAAAAAATCCAAGAGACGTTGACTCAAACCAGCTAGCAACTAAGATAGAAAACGGCCTTGATTTGTTTTGATTTTTCTTAAAAAAAATACAAAATTACATCTTCTTTCAAGAGATATTCTCTAACGTCTATACAGAACTGTCGTTCAAATTCTCCAAAAATCGTTGGTGTTCGACCCAATAAGCTCGTCACTGAATTTTGTCGCACTTGGAGCTAGTATGTCACAAATCGTTTTTAAATCAGATTTCTTATTATTTTTATAAAAAGACGAATAGCCAAAAGTTTCCACACTTTTGAAATTAATATTTTTGAATTCTTCACTTTCCACCAGCAATGCAATCATTTCCTTTGATGTACAAAGCAAATATAGCTTTTTCAATCGTCGAAAATTGGTTTTAAGGAATCTGAACATTTGCAGCACTTCTGTTATTGATCTATTGTAATCCATTATCACCACGAAAACTTCCGAAACATTCTGAAATAGATTGGCGTTCAACGGTGTTGGGTAGGTTGTTATTAGGTTAAGTGTTTCATTGGTAATAGGAGGTTCGAAAGCTAAGAATTTATAGGGTAGCGAAAAAAGATACAAGTCGTGGCCGGTTGATGTACCAAAAGACAGACCAACCTGAAATAATAGAAAAAGGAATTATAACACTCGTTTATATAAACATAAGGCCTTATTGCAATAAGAAAAACAGATAATCATGGTTGCAGCAGAAACGTATTACGACAATGTGCGTAAATAGTGGTTACGTTTTAAAATCCGGTCCCACTGTTGCCCATTTTGTTCCTGAACACTTACACACTTGCTGCTGTGATGGTCAGGATTGTTTAAAAACAGTCCACTACCACCTCC